TCTAGTGCTACTGAAACTTTTGACTCTAGTGCTACTGAAACTTTTGACTCTAGTGCTACTGAAACTTTTGACTCTAGTACTACTGAAACTTTTGACTCTAGTGCTACTGAAACTTTTGACTCTAGTGCTACTGAAACTTTTGACTCTAGTGCTACTGAAACTTTTGACTCTAGTGCTACTGAAACTTTTGACTCTAGTGCTACTGAAACTTTTGACTCTAGTGCTACTGAAACTTTTGACTCTAGTGCTACTGAAACTTTTGACTCTAGTGCTACTGAAACTTTTGACTCTAGTGCTACTGAAACTTTTGACTCTAGTGCTACTGAAACTTTTGACTCTAGTGCTACTGAAACTTTTGACTCTAGTGCTACTGAAACTTTTGACTCTAGTGCTACTGAAACTTTTGACTCTAGTGCTACTGAAACTTTATCTAAGACAGAAGAGACAACACTTGAAATTCTCACATCAATATATGATCCAACAAGTATAAATTTATCTGAGGATAAGTTGGTCATTTTTTGTGAAAGTATATATAACAATTATAAAAATGATAATAATCAAAGACAGTATAATAACTTATGCAACCAAACAAAAACACAATCATTGAATCCTGTTTGGATGATGCATCGTGCAGAGCGCATAACAGCTTCAAATGCAAAAGAAGTATATCATTTTAACACAAACTAAAGTGAATCATTGGTCAAACAAAGTCAAGTGAACCATTGGTAAAAAAGAAAATATGCATTATGCAAAAAATTCTGTTAATAAGTACACACAATATAGAACAAAAACGAAACATGCTGCACGAAAATATTATATTGAAAAAGTAAAATATAGTCATATAAATTTCCAATTTTTAGATACTGGTTTTCAAGTGAGAGAACAATACTCCTTCATTGGAACTTCTCCAGATGCATTGATTAGATGCAGTTGCCATCAAACTAAAATTTTAGAGATAAATATCAAAATGATTTTGAAGGATGGGAAGAAGATAAAGATTTTCCAACCAATAAAGATCTCATTATCAAAAAGGATCACAAGTATTACTACCAAATTCAATTACAACTACATGTATGTCTCTGTTCTGAGGCTGATTTTCTTGTATTCTCCCCTGCAACAAACCAGAATAAATACTACTTTCCTTTGACATGTATTTAGATTTTAAAACTGTAAAAATTGCTTCTATGTAAATTTGTTTTTACATTTACATTAATTAAGTAACTACACTCATATTGAGATTACAAGAACACAAATAATAATAATCATAATATCATCTAATAAATCCACTTGAGTGATTGGCACAGTCATATGAATAATGCAAAACTTTTTTATTCAACCAATCACTCTTTCTTTATGTATGCGAATATTAGATATCTGTCTAGATGTATCCACTTCCCATCCAGATAATTGTTGTCTATCTTTCGTAAATACTGGAACTTTTAACATTGCCCCAACAGCATTAAGTTCATCTTTAATATTTAATCCTCTGTCAGCAAGAACACAGTCGCCAGGATTAAGCTTCTGATAAAAGTTTGACCCAAATGTTATTTATTTGTCTGAAACACGACCACCCCAGCCAGGAGATAAAAAACTAACTGCCCCAGCTGGAGTAATACCAATAAGATATTTAATGGTATTGTTATGTTTGTAATTAGACCAAGTTTGTGATCGTGAAGTTAAATTTTTTGGTCTTTCAATAAATATTTCGATACAATCAATAATACAGACAATCTTAGAACATCTTTTAAAAACATATAGGAAGGATACTACTTATTATTCCACGGCCTGGCAAAACAATGAGATTAACAACTCTTTCAGAAAAAATTGGTATTATTGTTCTGAAAATTTTTGAAACTACTGCTGGGCTTAATGTAAATCAAAATACAATATCTTTATTTAATACACCTAATTTTAGTCTTATGAGTACAATTAAGAGATGGTCCTCCAACAATAACCTTGAGTGAACTTTTGTAATATAATTTTTAACTCTTTCAAAGAGCCACATAAATGTAGTTCGAGACAATCATGAAAAAAAATTAATTTGTTTATCTGTTAGGTTTTGGTATGAAATATATTTATTATGGTCTAGCCTGGCATTCTTTTTTTTAAGTTCAATAACTTCATTAGATTTCTTGATCAACTCATTTCTGTATTGCATTAACTGAAAGTTAAGAGTTGTATTGCATTAACTGAAAGTTAAGAGTTTCCACTTCTGCTTATAATATATAAGTATCATGGTGACAAATTTGGAAATGGCTGAGTTGTCATTTGCTGGATTTATGTCAATATTTATATTATCATTATAGTTATCGAGCTCTATATCATTTGATTTTGAAAAATCGTTTTTTACATAAAGCTTTATAGCAATCTTTTCTCTTCTTTTTGTATATATATATATATATATATATATATATATATATATATATATATATATATATATATATAAAGTATTGTTGATTTTTTAATGTACATAATTTTTATTTAGTGTTAATAAATAATTGATAAACCAGATATTTAAAAAATATCTAGTTTATCAAGTTTATTTTTGAATCGATCAATTGTTATTGATTCTATAATATATGGCGGTAAACCATTCCATGCTTCTACAACTCTACATGAAAAGAAATTATATCTAGCATTACTCTTTGTTAGCTTTTGGTTATGATCACGAAAACAATCACAAAACAAAATAATCTCCTCATAATCTTGCTGTATTTTATATAAAAAAATTAGATCTCTTTGTAAACGATGCCCTTCTAGTGTCTTTAATTTCTCTAACTGTAATCTTCTTTCATATGGCATTGTTTTTAAAGCTGGCACTAGTTTTGTAGCTCTTCTCTGTACTTTTCTATTTTTAAAATGTCTTATTTCAGATAAGGACCAATGCTTGAATAACAAAACTCAAAATGTGGTCTTACAAAAAGTCAATATAATTTTTTTGCTATATTTGAATCAAAAATTTGTTTAAAAACAGCCAACATTTGAATTGATTTTTCTACAGCCTTATCAATATGACATGGCTATTTTAAATTTGATTACATCATTACTTCTAAACCCCGTTCTACTTTGATATTGGTAAGATATTATTCTGTTGGGTTTCAGTATCCAACATTGAATAAATTATACATAGATTTTTAAAGCTTATGTCCATAATTTTACATTTTTCATAATTCAATTTTAATAACCATAATGATGACCATTTCATAATATTATTGATATCTGATTGTAATTTATTTATGTGTATATCTTCTTCTAATTTAATAATATTTATAATTTCGCTTCGTCTGCATATAGTTCAATATGATTTTTTAATGTGTCTGGTAAATCGTCTATAAAAATCAGAAAATGAAGAGGCCCAAGGACAGAAGCTTGTGGAACTCCACTCTCAACTGTTAACCATTTTGATAAACATTCCCCTGAAATTAATTGTTGCTTTCTGTTATGTAGTCTACTATCCAATTAAGTATTATTTGAACAATAGGATATAATTTTAAATTTATCATCAATTGCATAATTTTGTCACTTAAGATTGACTCAAAAATTTTGTATGGTATTAACGTTAATGAAATTGGTCTATAATTTGCTGAATCATTTTTATCTCCTATCTTGTGTAGTGGTTATACATTTGCAATTTTTCACTTGAGTGGAATTCTTTTAACACGTATGACCTTACACCATCTGCACTGAGTGCTTTATTGACATTTAGCTTACTAAGTTTACTCCGAATGATGTCTTGAGTCATTACTGTGTCAAAGTCTTGCTTGTTTTTACTGTAATATTAGGAAAATTTGTTGGATCTTCTATAACAAATACAAAATGAAAGTTTTCATTGAGAATATTAGCAATATCATCACAATTTGTTTGTAAACAACTACTTTTATCCATAATCTTATTAATACTCAATTTTTTTTTTTTTGTATGAATTTATATAAGCATTAAACTGTTTTGGATAATCTTTTGATGACTTTTGCTTGTTATTTTAATAATTTATTCTTTTTGATTCAACTAGATTTTTAAGTGTTATATTGATTAAATTATATTGGACTTTCAGCTGGTCACATTTAAAATCATTGGATAATAATTTGTGCCATAAATTTGATTTGTTTCTAATTACTTTTTTCACTTCTCTATGAATTGAGTTGTATTTTTATATTGAACATATTTTATTTGGGAATGTATTTTTGGCATAAAAAAGATATTCATAAGTTTTTCATAGCACTCATTAAAACTATTATTTCCAAAAAGATTTTCACAATTTTTCACATTGATAGCATTGCTGTGGAATTACCAAGTTAATAATTAAATGTAAATTTCTCATAATTTGGCGTTTCAATTTTAGTAGTGTTTTTGGCAAAATATTTCCAGCCAAGTGTTTGGTGTCCGCTTCAAGTGTTGCCAAGAATTGGGTTATGATGGATTTTATTTATTCTGGTGCTTCTGTTAAAATTAAATCTAGTATATAACCATTTTTAATTAATTCAGCATTACATGTAGGTGATATAACTGCTTGATATAAGTAGTTATCATTTATATATTCAACAAATTTGGTGGAGTATTTATCATATTTTTTCATAGTTTGAACATTAATTTCCATGGAATATTTGTGTAATTAAAATCTTCTGTAATTAGCAAACCAAAGTACTTTTAATGATCAATTTTATTTTTAGTTGCTTCTATTATTTTTATTACTTCACAGACACAATAGTATGTTTCTTATGTATGTATGTATGTATGTATGTATGTATGTATGTATGTATGTATGTATGTATGTATGTATGTATGTATGTATGTATGTATGTATGTATGTATGTATGTATGTATATATATATATATATACATATAATATATATATATATATATATATATATATATATATATATATATATATATATATATATATATATATATATATATATACATACATATATATATATACAAATATATATAACAACGCATTGTCAAGAAAAATCATTTTGATAAGAAATAGTTTAAAAAAATACCTTTATTTCTAATTCATTTGATTCTATATCTTCTTTAGCAGAGTATTGGCTAACCTGCTGGGCACCTCTTTGACTACTAACAGCAAAAAAATTGATAATAAAAAAATTCATAATAATAATTGATGTTTTTTAGATATTGGTAATATTTATTAGTCACATATTAGCAAAGAATATTTAATACTTGCAAAATATTTGCAGACAATAAAATAACAATAATAATCCATAGCTAAAAGTTTAAGAACCACATCCATACCTCAAGTAATCAATTGAAAAGATCACATCATGTTAAATATTGGGTGTGCGCAAAAACAAAAAGACACTTTTAAATTTATCTACATTTAAATACTCTGCACATAGTGGGGGTGAAAAGTACATTAAATTGCTTATTGGAAGTTGCTTCCTATCAACATAACTGTCATTGCAGAAAATGTGTTCAACTAAAAAAGCTTAAGCAAAAACTCTCAACTTATCTTCCTGAGAAATGCAAAGTTTGCTTTTTCCATGACAAACTTGGTGACATATCACAAAATTTTCAGAGTTAGGCTTAAGACTAAACCTAAACCTAACCCTTTATTAGTAAAATATTAATAAAAAAAGTAAAGCAAATTATTTTTGTACACACCGAATATATAAACTACAAAAAATTTACAAAAAACAACAAAAACTACAAAAATATTTAATGTGAAACAGCAACACTTTATAAACTACAAAGCTATTGTGTGAAGCAGCAATAAAGGTTTAATAACTATGGTTATGAAACATATCATCTGGCTATGACATTATTATACTAAAAAGTGAAATTAAATTACACCTAAATTGAAAATAAATTCAAATTTTTGTTAATACATTTTTACTTGAGATTTTTTAACATCTGATTTTGCAGAAACCTTTTTATCGAACTCATTTTTTTGCTCTTTATGACCATCAGAAATTTCAAGCAAAGGTAAACTTGTAAACTCTTTAATATTGGATAAATTTCCTAAAAAATAAATTTCAATTTGAAAGATGGATAATTTATATGTATATGTATGTATGTATGTATGTATGTATGTATGTATGTATGTATGTATGTATGTATGTATGTATGTATGTATGTATGTATGTATGTATGTATGTATGTATGTATGTATGTATGTATGTATGTATATATATATATATATATATATATATATATATATATATATATATATATAAAATGCTGTAGTGGTAGAGCGCTCGCTTCATAAGCAAGAGGTTCTGTTTTTGATCCCCACCACCATTTTTTTGCTGACCTCAAACACTTATTGGTCGGCATTTAGGTCAGCATTGCTGACCTAAATGCCGACCTATAAGTGTTTGATACATATATATGAAAGAAAAGATTGCTGCCACATTCCAAAGCTTCAATTAATGTAGCAACACTCCTTTGCAGCAACAGGCTATTTCAGTGTGATGTCAAACATGTTATCTAAACATGCATTTGCTATTTGTGAAATTACTGTTATTGAAACCCAGTAAAGGTGTAGTGGTAAGGGCTTATGCTTTTTACTATTACCTTATGCTTTGTAAGCATAAGGTACAGAGTTAAAACCCACCACAGCTATACACCTTTCTCCATACAGCTTTGTTCTTTATAGTTTGTGTTTCATAGTTATAAGATTAAAAGATATAACTAAAAAAAAAAAAAAAAAAAAAAATTAAAAAAGTGTTTAAAAAAAGAAAAACTGCTTATTAAGGTAAAAAATTAGGTTGTAAAATTATAAATGTAAATATTATTAACTTTTACTTAATCCAAATTTTATAATGAAAATTTTGGTGTAAAATTCTTAAACAATTAAAATAATTTGAAAAAATAATTATACTTTGGTTGCTAAAGGTTACAAATACAACATGCTTTGTTGCTTATTTTATGTTAAATGCTGTGTTGCTGTTAATTTTTTTTACATAAGTTTAAGATGGATATTTGTTATCAAAAAGCCATGGGCAGTGCTGAGAAACTGATCAAGCTACATACAGACAAAAACCCCAGACTTCAGAAAATAAATTTTTTTATAGAATTTCTTTGATATACCTTTACTTTTATCTTTCTCCATTGCATTATAATATTCTCGTAAAATATAGCATGTATGCTGGTATCTGTTAACTTCTATTTGCATTAAGGAAATATAGTGATTTACTAAAAATCCTGCATTGTCTTGTAACCATCCATCTTCTATTATACTTAAGAGTTCTTTTTCGGCTTCATCTTTACGCATATCAGATATTTCCCATAATCTCTCACAAAGATCCTATAAAAATATTTAGTGTGTTCAAATTAAAACTAATTAAAGAAATTTTAACAATTTTAATGCTTATAAACATTAAATGTTTATAAAACATGAAATAATGTTTATAAACATTTAATAATGTTTATAAATATAAATTGTTTATAATCATTAAGTAATGTTTATAAACATTATTTCATGTTTTATAAACATTGTTTAATGTTTATGAACATTAAATAATGTTTATAAACATTGTTTAATATTTATGAACATCAATGTTTATAAACATTAAACAATGTTTATAAACATTAGGCATATACACATTAAAAATTTAACAATATATAAATATGAATAATATAAATATGAATAAACATATAAATATGAATAAAAACTAATAATAATGTAATGTAATAATACTGTAATAATACAATATGATTAATGTGATGCAAAATGTATAATATATAAAACTTTTAAACAAGTTTTTGGATAAAAAAAACTTGCTTAAAACTTACATCAACTCGTTGATGAAGTTCGGCTTTGCATTCTTCATCATTTCTCATATCCTCAGGAAATGTGTTATATTCCTAAAATACCAATAAACCCAAACTAATTAAACTGTTTCCATATTTTGTATGTAACTACTTGCATCTTGTAACTTTACATTTAAAAAAAGTAAATAATAAAAAACCTCTTGCCATTGAGTAATGAATATTTGCTTTACATCTGGCTTCTTTAAAAATTCTTTGAAAGCATCTCTACAAAAATTATTTCAATAAACTTAATAAACAAATTACAACAAACAAGTATCATGAATCATGTTATTAAAAAAAAATTGTTAAATTATTATTTAAAATGTTTTCAACCATTCTAAAATACTTAAAAATAAAAGTATTTGTGTTGTTGATGTTGTTGTTAATAATAAACACATCCATAGAGCATTTCTTTTTCATTAGATTTCTGTTAGTATCTTTAATTACCTGTGAGAGATACTTTTGTATTTTTATGGTGTTGTTTGTATTTTCGTATGTGTCAAGAATACATAAAAATAAAAGAGAGATTTAAAGCACCTAAAATTGTTGAAAATCTAAAGAAAAAATACTTTTTTAAGCATGTAGGAGCACAAAAATGATGCAACTTAGCTGAATGATGAGTCACACAAGATTGAGCTTATGAATGATTGATGGAATGAGTTGAGCTTGAGCAGCAACCATTATAGTAAGTGCAGAAAAGAGAAAGAGATGCAACATTATAACTAACTAAGTAAGGGTTAAGTTTAGCAGCTAGAAAAGGTTCAAAAACATTTACAATACATTTTTGGGTTTTGCTTGATTAAGGGCCTCATTAGAAGAACCAGCCTAAATTTGAAATCAGTATTTCATACAAGGATAAATAAAAGATTTTTTTAATAAAAATTAGGAGTTGCAACCAAAGTATAACTTTGCAATGGAGTTTATATACAATTTTTCTTAAGAGGCAAGTAGTAAATGGAATCCAAAAGGACAAATTAATAAACCCAGTAAAATTGTTGTCATTCACCAATGTAAAATATCAACAATTCTACAATATTTATTACCAAATAATAACTGAGTTTTGTTTGAATGAGTATCATCAGCCACTGGAAGCCCAAAGCTGTCTCAGAAAAGATTTCAGATTCAAAATTGGCTGCCTGCTCTAAATGATTAAAAAGTGATGAGTTTTATTCAAGACTGGAATATATAGTTGTATAATACATCAGCAAATTGAACCAATTTTGAGGTAAAAGTTATCAGGGAAATTGTTATAATAAAGGAAGAACAACAGAGGAATCAGAATGGAACCTTGTGCTACCCCAGAGGTTACTGAAAAGGATCAAAAAGATTGTTGTAATTCAGAGATAACTTTAATGCTGTGGTAAGAAAGAAATGATTTAATAACTTGCAAAACTTTTCTAAATACATCATATGAAGCGAGTTTATAAAGAAAACCACCATTTTAAACTTTGTATAAAAACATAATTATATCAAGAACAACAGCCTTTGCCTCTTTCATCTAATGCACAATAGAATTTTTATGTTTTAATACACACACACACACACACACACACACACACACACACACACACACACACACACACACACACACACACACACACACACACACACACACACACACACACACACACACACACACACATATATATATATATATATATATATATATATGAGGAATTCCACGAGTGGCGGTCGTAACATTTAACACCCTGTAAACTATTAAAAATGAATCGAAAATAGAAATGACTTTAAACTTTACAGAAATGTAAAATATAATTATAATTTAATTTAGTATATAAAAGTTACAGCATTAAATTAAACTTTTTTCAAAAATTAACTCTATGTAGAATGACAATTTGTTATGCTTACTTTTTACCACTTCTCAACAAAATAACTTTGTCAGACTTAATGCAGCGAACAGCATAGTAAAAAAAAAAATCATTTGGTGTGTGTATTTAGCGCATAATAATGTTATTATATGCTAAGTTTCATAGATTTTACTTGAGGTTTTACAAGCATTTGAAATTTTTTTTGTTGCTGTGATGGTCGTAACCGTGATGGTCATAATGAAAAATCCAATGGTTAAAAACAGCAAATAAAACAACGCAATACATGATGTAAGAAAAAAAGTATAAGTGATTATTAACAACCATATATATTATGTTAAAAAATGCAATATGTCATTATCAAAGTTCTCAATTATGGGTATACAATACGATTTTTAACGCTAAACAAAAGGACTGTAAATGAGCATCAAAACACGTTTATACGACCCTTACAACATATATATATATATATATATATATATATATATATATATATATATATATATATATATATATATATATATATATATATATATATATATTAGGGTGATTCAGAATGAGAGAATCTATTCAAATTATTCATCAATTCACAAAATTGGTGAGTTTGTTGTGATACTAAGAAAGCATTAGGAGTATACAAATACATTTTTTCTAATATAATAGGACTATTGAACTGACCTTTAAAGTGAAGGGGGGGGGGCATTTTTCAATTTTATATATATAAAAAAAAGGGGGAAGGCACACCTTCCCCCCTCCTTCCCACCCCTGGTGTCGATGACCATGTGTAATAAAAATATTTTTTGGTGGATAATATTGTAAACTGCTTGTTACTTCAATTAGTAATGTATTTGCTGACTTTTCCCCTCACCCTTATTTACCCCCGGGTTTCTTTTCACTTTTTTACTAATTAAAAATTGATTCAAGTTTTTGCAACAAAATCAATTTTTAAGTAACTCATGCAAATTATGATAAAAACAAGGTTTTCTATTTACCTTACAAAAAAGCCTACAAAAGAAAAAAAAAAGTTTTCTGATCACTTTTGAATCTTTTGAAATTATTAATGTTATTTAAACCTATTTCCATATTGTTTTTTGTCATCTTGCTGGAGCTTTTTCCAGGTTTTTTCTAAAGCATAACGAACTTTGCCTATGGTTACCAGTCTCATTTGTTTTTCTTCTTCACTAATGTATCTATGGATAAACTCCTGCATCATGCCTACATTTCTTTCTAAATGATCATTTACTATAATCAAAGTTTTTGATTATAGTAAATAATCATTTAGAAAGAAAGTTTATGATTGAGTGTGCCAGAAAAATGATGGAAGTGACAACCAATTGCATAATCTCTTTTCTGTAAACCCATTTACTTCAAAAATAAATTAAGAAAACTCATTAACTAACACCCCCAAATTTGGTAGATTACTAGCCGTTGTGCTATTTAGGTTGATTATCTCTTTGATATCCACTTTCGGCTAACTTTCAATTTTGTAATCAGATGCCTTTAAAGATGGCATTTTGTACGATAAAATTGATTTGGCGGTTAGTGTTTTATCTTTATAAGGAAATTTATAATGTAGAATTGAAAGAGGTATCAAAATTGAGTCTTAGTTCCAAGAGTGTTTTAATATTGAGTCAATGACTTTATCTACAGCTTTTTTTATTTAGCAAACATCTTTATACAGAGTCATTTGATGTAGAGCTGTAATATCAAGGTATGAGGCTTTAATAGGATTGTGGCTTTGCAAGTACCAAGGAGCATAAAAACAACAAATAAACTTCACAAATATTTTTTTTTCTACTTGAGCTTCTACATCTTCTTTTATCAAAAAATCTAGTTGTTTAGATAGCAGATGTAACTTTGTATAATAAAGAGCTCAGCTAAGAAATCTTGCATGATGAACTGCACCTGTTTTTTTTTATTTTAACAACTCCTGATTTCGATAAATAAATAATTACAAGCTCTGCTAGTTCTTTTCTGTCTTTCCTAGCAATATTTAATAGCTTTTTAATGTATTTTTTGCAATATTCGAGTGCATCTGTTTTTTTTTTTTTTGCCATGATACATTCACATTCAATTAGTTGACACCTACCAACCTTTAAGTTTAAGACTTTGGAGGACAATAAAGAATATTCAACTTTTTTGTAATTCCATTTGGCAAATTTGATTGACAATATTAAAAGTGTTGCAAGATATCCATACCCGTTGGAAGTTACGTTCCTAAATCATATAGGTTTTTATTAAAATTACCAATACTATATAAATAGTATAAATAAGCGCATATTATTTATTTTTACAGAGTATAATAGAGTGATGGATTGGTGTCGATATTGAGATGAAAATGTGTTTTAGTGACCATGTGAGTCATGTGACCATGACTTCTTTTCAGGTAAATACGAAAATATCATAAAACCGAATCAATAACTGTACATTATTTTTATTTCTATGCAACACAGATCTGAAATGCAGACGTAGCTTTATGGATAATATGAAAACTCTTTTAGAAGATCTCAAATTGTTATTGTGCAAAATCTTGTGTTTCTGATAACTCATATCAATACTTGTTTAGTTACTTGAATTTTTATTTTGAATTTCAAAATTCAAAATCAAAAATGTAAGTTTCATATTTTAAATCAATGTAGTGGCTTCATATCAATTGTTTTTTATTTAAAAATAAACTCATAGAAAACCTTAGTAAAAGTGAATTAACAATATATTTATATTTATATATATATATAATATTATACATATATCACATATACATAATTTTATATACATTATATATGTATATGTATATATATATATATATATATATATATATATATATATTTATATATATGTATGTATGTATGTATGTATGTATGTATGTATGTATGTATGTATGTATGTATGTATGTATGTATGTATATATATATATATATATATATATATGTTAGTGGTTGCTTGCAGCCTTGTTGGAAGTAAAGATGATTTAAAAAAAAAAAAAAAATTTGGGCAACAATTGAAGCAGTTCTTGTTATATGGGAGAGAGGAAGAATACTAACTCAAAGAATTAATAATGCCGAAAAAAAGTTATAAAAATTTATAACAATTATCTGCTGTTGAAAAAACATAGAGAATCAAAATTGGACAGCTGTCAAGTGAAAGAAGGGACTTTTCAGGCTGACCTTGAAGACAATGAAGATAAAGCATTCTTATGCCAACAGCAAGAAGATCCATCAAGTTGTAGTATGGTAGGAATTGATTGAAACTTAACAGCTAGGGAAATGAGTTCAAGAAACTAAAAGGGAATGAGACGCAAAAACAGCAAAACTGAATTGAAGGAAAAAACCAAACTTATTTCTTCTTCATCAGCAGTTGGCATTGTCACTGCAAGTAGCTCTAGTTCCTCGGATAATGATGAATATCGTTCCTTCCACTACCAGCAAAAGTGGTTTAACAAAAAAGAAAATAAAAGTTTTATCAGATGTTGTCTCTTGATCGGGTGTATATTTTTGATTGTAGTACACTCTTCAAGGTTGGAAATGTGGCTCAGGTTCTTGATCACTCAGTAAAAGAATTATCATTGTCATACAGCACAATCCACAGAACAAGGCAATTGGTTCGTGAAGCAATGACTACAGCTGACAATGTCAATTTCTTTCCTAATGATCCACTTCTTTTGCATTGGGATGGAAAGCTCTGAACTGATATCAATGGTGGTCAACAAAAAGCAGATAGAATTGTAACCCTTGTGACTGGTGGTGGGATGGAAAAATTGTAAGGCGTTCCAAAGATTGTTTAGCGTATGGGTGAGTAACAGGCTGATGCTTGTATGAAGGCTCTTGAAGATTAGAATCAAATGAACATGTTCAGGGACTGGTTTTTGACACTACTTCATCCAACACTGGGTTAAACATTGTGCCTGCACAATAATGAAGTCGAATCTTAAACATAATCTTATATGTACAGCATGCACCATGTCTTTGAAGTCATTCTTTCAACCATTTTGAATCAGTGGAGGACTTTTTAACCGCCTCCAGAAACAATCAACAAAGAGCTGTACTCAACAGGGAATGAAGAACTTCCTAATTGTGATTTTCTAATTAAACTCTGAGAAGAACTATTAGTATACTTTTGTGAAGCAATTAAAAGTTAACAACCCAGAAATGATTACTTAGAACTCTTGAATTTGGGTCTTATTTTTCTTAGAGGATCAACTACAAGTTTAATGTAAAGTTTTGGGCTTCAGTTGCAACAGACAATGCATGCTGAATGGTCAAAGTTATACATTGTCTAAGAATATATTTGTTTCAGGATCAACTTGTTATTAATGCAAGGAAAAAAAATGGAATAACAGACCAGAGGTGGAAAGCAACAAATTACATTTACTCATGTTACTGTAATTGAGTAGTTATTTTGTGAATTTCTACTTTTTAAGTATTTTTTTAAATGTGTACTTTTACTTTTACTTAAGTATTTTTTCTCTAAAGTATTGTACTTCGCTACATTTGAAATCATATGCGTTACTGAGTAAAAAAATTTATTATGTATTGTTTAATTTCACAAATACAATGATTTAATTTTTTTTATTTTTTTGAGTTTTGCTCACTTTAATAAAAATGACACTTTTAAATTGTTTAGAAAAAAATGTTGACTTTTAACTGCTTTACCTTGGTTTCTTTTCACTTTTTACAACCATAAAAAAAATTTTGTCCAAAAAAAAAATTTATACAGAAAAGAATAGACTACATGATTTTTGTTTTTTTATTTGACAGCTTTGTTACTGAAAAAGTAACGCAGTAGCTTTTCTTCTGAGTACATTTTTGATAAGCTACTTTTTATTAAGTACTGGTAAGTTTTACTTGTACTTGAGTAAAATTTCACTTAAGTAACAGTACTTTTACTTGAGTACAATTTTTTTTTTTACTTTTTCAACCTCTGTAATAGACATAAGTCTTTTTGTGGCATTAATATATGGACAATTTTGGAATAAAGCTTTATTAGCTGAACTTGCACCATTCAATGATGCCAAGCTCCATCAACGGATTCAAGAATATCCAAACCGTGTAATTGTAACTGCTGCAGCAAAAACTTTTCATTGCCACCTCTGGCATTTTTCTAAATATTTAGTAAGATTGGCTTTCTTTGATTCTTTTGTCAACAAAAACACCAAGAAAGACATGACAAACAACCTAAAACAGCAGCCAAGGCAAAAATCTTTCAAAAGACTTAATGCTGCCACACTCAATTTTCATAGGCCATTAACTTCTTCATCACACAAGGCACTGCAGAACCTTTTGATCTAATTTTGAAGAATGGCAAAGAAAAAGCTGAATTTATTTTAATGAAAAAATCTTCAGAGTGGGAAATGAATTCCACATATATGAAAATAAAGCACAAGGTTCATCAAATGAAGGTCATCACAATTATGCAGAATATGGCATAGCACAAAAAATATTCTTTAACTCAAGATTTCAAAAGATGAAAATCAAAAGCCAGTTTCCAACTGCATCAAAATCTGCCCTGATGAAGATTACTGTTTTTGATAGATAATTGATTTTTGATACAATGTAATAAATTAGATGGCCTCATTAGAAGAACTAGCTTAAATTTGAAAACAGTATTTCGTACAAGGATAAATAAAAGATTTATAAAGGTAGATAATAAAATCAGGAGTTACAACCATAGCATATGCAACAACCACAGGATATGCTGCGGTTGTAATGAATAACTTTGCAATCCTTTTAATGAACAACTTTGCAATGGAGTTTATATACAATTTTTTATAAGAGGTTAGTAATAAATGAAAATCCAAAAGGACGTAAATAAAAGAACCCAGAAAAAGTGTTGCTATTCACCAATATAGAAATATCAACAATACTGCAATAATTATTAACAAATAATAAATGAATTTTGTTGGAAGAGTATCAGAAGCCACTGGAAGCCCCAAGCTGACACTGGAAGCCCCAAGCTGTCACTGGAAGCCCCAAGCTGTCACTGGAAGCCCCAAGCTGTCACAGAAGCCACTGGAAGCCCCAAGCTGTCACAGAAGCCACTGGAAGCCCCAAGCTGTCACAGAAGAGTTGAAATTCAAAATTGGCTACCTGCTCTAAATGATTAAAAAGTGATAAGTTTTTTTCAAGACTGGAATATCTAGTTGTGCTATATATCAGTAAATTGAACCAATATGAGGTGAGAGTTATCAGGGAAAGTGTTTAAATAAAGGAAAAACAACAGAAAATTAAGAACTAAACCTTGTGATTAACCTCGAAGTTACTAAAAATTGAGAATATTGTTGTCATTCATTGATAACTTTAATGCTGTGGTTACAAAGAAATAATTTATTAATTTAAAAAACTTTCCTAGATACACCATAGGAAGCGAGTTTGTAAAATAATTCACCATTTTAAACTTTGTAAAAAACTAGCCTTTGCGTCAACCTTTTCACATTTATTAGTGATGTAGGTACATGTCTGATCTTTACAGAATAATATGATGAATAAACATAAATATTATAGACAACTCACATAAGAAGCATTTTTTTTAAAGTAAAAGTAAAAAAGTGCATTATGTGTAGTTTTCACAGATCATGATTCATTTTTGACTTGTATATAAATATAAGTACTATATAATTTCATATATTTAAAAATATAAGTACTATATAATTTCATATATTTAAAAATATAAGTACTATATAATTTCATATATTTAAAAATATAAGTACCATATAATTTCATATATTTAAAAATATAAGTACTTAATAATTTCATATATTTAAAAATATACTGTGTAAAGAAACAAAATGTAATGAAATAAAGTTACTTACCTCCTGTCATAAAAATATCTATCAATTATAAAACACTGAGTACGAATTTTTCGAAATATTTGTTTTATCAACATAATGTATGTGTCTTCAATAAATATCCAATTATTTAATATTATTTCTGCAATTTCCTAAAACATATAACGTAAAAAATTGTATATTATTATATTATTGTATCTTATATGCAGTAAAGTAATATATATATATATATATATATATATATATATATATATATATATATATATATATATATATATAAATATATAAATAACCTTATCAATGGGTTGATCAACAAAAACTGGCTTGCTTGATTCGATTAATGAAGATGTTAAATCACAAACGATAGGTTCTTTTTTCTCTCCTATTGATTCTAAAACATAGCTAGTAAACTTCATAAATTAGATTATATTGAATTAAATGATTTATATTTTCTATAAGCATTCTAACTCTACCCCCTTTAAATAGTCTTTTTTGTTTGTTTGTTTTTTGTAGATGTGTACACAAAAATTGCAAAATTATATCTTATTATTGTTTTTGTCCATATTTTGAAAATATTTTCTACTTTTTTACTTTACTGTTTCTGTTTGACAAAATGCTTTTATAGTTGGGGTGTGAGTTACATCTTCAAAAACTTTCATAATAGAAAATACTTTATTAAAATAAATATATAAATTAAATTTTTATTTATGTAATTCCTTTGAATTTTAAGATTAACAAAAAAAACTCACCATTTTGCTTACTTTCCAATGAATTTGCATTTTCCAATTGACTTTTTAAATCTTGGATCTTAAAATAAAAAAAAAAATTATGCAGACAAAACATAATAAAAAATATAATCAAACAAAAAATTAAAAAATGAAGCCAAACAGCTAACTTTCTTCATTGTTTCTTCAATTACTCTTTCTACATTTAAAGCAACAGCATCTGTATTAATATATAAAAATACATTATTGTATTCAGTTCAGCTTTATGTATTATCTGTTTGGATTAGCTTAAATCTTTTACATTTTGAATAATATAAATAAATAATATATATATATATATATATATATATATATATATATATATATATATATATATATATATATATATATATATATATATATATATATGTATATATATATATATATATATATGTATATATATATATATATATATATATATATATATATATATATATATATAAATATATATATATATATATATATATATATATAAATATATAAATATATAAATATGTATATATAAATATAAATATATAAGGGGCTATTTTAGAGCGTTTTCGACAGCGCCAACCATAGTTGGGCACCGCCCAAATTAAAATTTTTATTTACAATTTTATGTAAATATATTTTATTTTAAATTTTTTTTTACATTTTTATGGCAAATATCGCAAAAAAATGCTGATTTTCTGCTAAAGTCAGCCAAAATGAGGGGGTACCACCATTTAAATTTTTTTCCTATAAAAGGCCCTATATATATATATATATATATATATATATATATATATATATATAAATATGCACACACACGTATATAGAGTGCATCAAACATCTCATACTTTCAAAAATCGATCTGTCCCTATTCCAAAACTTTCTATTGGTTCTTGCAAGCAACTCTGTTAATTTTTTTCAAAATCGAATGAGATTTAGGGGGGCCACCTCAAGTCTGAAACTTGCAACAAGACCTTAAACAGAAAAAAATAAAATTTTTCAAATGTATATCATAGTGGGTCTCAAAAGAAGAAAAACTTAAAAACATTTTTATACAAGAACTATTGTTATAAGTTTTATTGCATAAAATTATTATTTTTATTCAATAAAAAGACATGCATTTAAAAAACTTTTTTTTTTTTGCATTTAGGAACTTGTTTGCAAATTTTGTCCTGAACATGAGTGATAACTTATTACATGTAACACATTTGTTAACTTATGGTAACTCATTTTTGCAATTTAGATTTAAAGTAAACTTATTTTAAAGTTTAGTTACATAATTAAAACTTTAATTAAAACTTTAATTCAAGTTTTTATTGAAAATAGCTTTAAATGTTAATTGCAAAAGTTTGATTTATTAAACAAGTTTTGTGAAGAATTCTCAAGTAAATATTAACTGAAAAAATAATTTTGCTTTGTAAGTAAATTATTACTTAAATTATTTATTTCTGTAATACAGTTGTTGCTTTAACATAAAATTTAAAATAAAAAACTAACACAAAAAAATGGTAAAGGTTGTAGCGGTAATGTGGTGGTGGTAATGTATGGTGTAATGTAACCAAGAGCAACTATAGTTGCTCATGGCTACATTACTCAAAATTATTGTAACTACCTGTAACTTAACTTAAATAGCTTAGGTTCAAATTTTTAATTGTAGCAAAATAACCACACAAACCTTGCACATGTAATAAATTTGAACTGAATATATGTTGAAAGTAACTAATTCAGCCCTAAGTCTTATTATTGATGACATCTTCTTTGTCAGCATATTGATAAAGCCTATACTTTATTGTAAAATAGTTTCTATTTAAAAAAAAAGTTTTCATTAAAAAATTCTGCACAATAGACACAGGTCAAGTTTTAAAATTTTAAAAAAATTAATTAAAACATTTTATTTTCAACTTTACAGTTAAACCAAAAAATAAAACCTTGTTCAACAGAAGCATCGATAGTGCAGACAATATTAAACTGATTGAACCACTTTTCAAGCTTACTCCAATTAGCCTGAAATGCGTTGAGTCTAAAATTTAAAATTAAATTCCATTTGTAAAATATGTTAGTTAATGTATGCACTTTATCTCCCACTTATCCATATTTCTGTACAATATCATTGTAAGTCTACATTTTACAAGATCATCTAGGTAATCTATTTTAAAAATGTGGAAAATATTTTCCTAAAAATACATAGAAAGCTTTTTTGTATTTTTCTGTAAACCATAAAATTATAAGTTTATCTAAAGAAAAAAAGAAGAAAATTGAAAAAAACTTGACAGTGTCCTTATATCAGTTGACGTATGTACTGCCCTTACAGCTTCTTAAATCAATATGACATATTTATGTGTGTGTGTGTGTATATACATATATATATATATATATATATATATATATATATATATATATATATATATATATATATATATATATATTTATTTATAGATATATAAATGTTTATATATATGTATATATATAAAATATATATTTATTGAAATAAAAATATATACAATTGTATTACTGTAAGCATTTTAATTTATTTTTTATGCAAGAAGGTGCATTAGTTATATACATATTTCTTGACAAAACTTTGCAATTGCAGTGAATCATTCTCAGTATATTGGATGGTGCCACATCCTTTTCTGTTAGTATATGAAGAAGATAATCATTTTCTAATTTTCTTTCCAATTCTTTATAATCTAAGTTAAAAGATTTATCTAATATTTTCCATACAATAACCTGGAAATGAACTCAGAGTGTAAAAATAGGCAGCACAATCTGTGAGTGTCAGCTTTTCAGGCTTAAATAATTACATTTCTGGCTTAAATAATTTACCTCTTTACACAATCATTGCATTTTAAAAACCACATCAAGGTCTGCTCAACAACAAAATCAAAAGATTAACCAGGCCAATATTTTGCATATCAATGTACTGCATAACAACCAACTAAAAAGTACTGGTGCAAGCTAAGATTTGTTTCTGAAAGATTAGCATTTCTTGCAAATATTATCTGAAGCATAATATAGTTGATATAGATATGAAGTTGATATAGTTTAAATGATCTTTTTTTAACTGTTTTACAAGAAACCAATGTTTAAGTTTGAAGTTACCAAATAAAATACATCAAAGAGCAAAAAATTGGTTGACAGAAGAATAAAAAAACTGTAAATATACTACTAACTTTAATCATTTGCAGAGTTGTCTCTACAACTAAAAAAAAATATTGTACTATATTGTGGTTTTGATCTTTCATAATACCAAGCAATTTCTTCAAAAAAGGCTGATCAAACGTAACAGAAAATAATTAATTGACTTTGACAATGATAAATAATAGTTTAGAATATATGCATGTTTCATATTAAAAATTTAAGTGGGTAATAGATAAAAATGCTATGGATGCATTTTCATTAATTGTAATTGATTTTTATGTTATATGCATCATATAGTCTCAGTAGTTTAAGTGTTTGAATGTTTTTCAAACTAAAAAAGCCAAGCTGCATACCAAATAACATCAGGCCTTTTGTCCCTTTTTTCACTCAATATATAAAAAATAAATTTTTTTAATATATAAAAAATAATTTTTTTTTACTCAAAATATAAAAAATCATACCTTATTAATATTTGCTCTTTTTCATTTGAAGAAATAAAAAATTATACCTTATTATTATTTGCCTTTTTTTATTTGAAGAAATAAAAAATCATACCTTATTAATATTTGCTCTTTTTCATTTGAAGGATCAATAACAGGGACAAAGTTCTGACTAATTTTAGAATAGCAACTCTCTAATGGAGGTTTGAATTCAATATGAAAATCTTCACCTGTATTTCGATTGGCTTAAAAAAAAAAAAAAAAAAAAAGAGTTATTACTATAATATACTGTAGGTATATATATATATATAATATATATATATATATATATATATATATATATATATATATATATATAATATATATATATACTATGAATATATTTATTATGTAAATTATTTTTCTAACTAATATCTAATTAACTGTATTATTTCTACTTTTGGCATATACTTAAATTTATACAATATACTTAAAACACATTTGATCAACATGTTTACGAAAAGTAAAAAAAAACATATCTTATAACATCTAACTTTTAATGATAAAACTACTTCAAGTTAATGTCATATGTATATACAGAGTATATACATACCATTTAATGTCATCCCTGCATATACAGAGTAAAAATTGAATTTTTTTTATTGGTTTAAGAAAAACAACAACAAGGTATTTATTTTCTGTAAATCATTTTTTTATACATTTTACAATGTTATTAATAATAATAATAATAATAATAATAATAATAATAATAATAATAATAATAATAATAATAATAATAATAATAATAATAATAATAATAAGGGGCAAATTAAGTGATTGAGAATTTCGATATCTGTAAAAATATCTGGCCTTCAAATTTTTATCATTTAAAGTTTTATCATTCTCATTAAAAACCGTAAATACTGTTTTAATGGTTTAATTTATCACATTGCAAAAATTTATCAAAAAACAAAACAACAAACCCACGGCCGCAAAAATAACAACATCAAAAAATTACATATTTTAATTTATTGTTTATTTAAACACTCAAGTATACATATAAAAAAGTTATACATAAGTATACATAAAAAACTAATAATTTAAGTTTTATACAAAAATATTTAAAAATAATATTCACTAAAGATCCATAAATTGAGCTCGTAAAATAATCATAAAACAACCAATTAAAATTCTAGTAAAGCTATTTAAGCACTGTACAAAATATTAAAATCCAATTTTTTGTCAAAACAAATATTATAATACAATTCAAAAACTAACTTTTTAATAATCAAATATTATAATACAATTCAAAAACTAAATAATTAAATTTTTGAATTATTTATTCAAAAATTTAATTATTTTAAATTAAACATTAGTTAATTGATAAAAAAGATTTGATTTAAAATATGTTTTTAGAATTTTTATTATTTATTTTAAAATAAATATATTTTAAACACCTCTGTCTACACTAGAGTTACAAGCATTTAATTGATGTCAATATTTGATTTATATATATTGATAGTGAATAAGATTTTAATAAGATATAAAAGCAGTCGCAATTTTTTTTATTTAAAATATTTTAAAATAAATATTTTAACTTGTTTAAATGGTACGGAATATGTGTGTAAAGTAAAAATAACTTATTCTTACTTATGTTCACAATTAAGTAGTGAGAAAAAAAAGACATACCATGAGGATATAATGTTTAATTGTATAAAATGCTATGTCATATGTAAGATACCATTTAAATTAGGTGAAACAAGATTAAGTTTATAATTAGAAAAACTACCTGATTTAATAAAGTGGAATAGCATTAAATTTTATCA